TTTGGGTCCGCTCCGGCGGCATTGTGCCTTTGGGTCCGCTCCGGCGGCCTTTGGGTCCGCTCGCGGGCCAGTGCGGTCGAGGTGCGTACAGACCAGTTCCACCACTGCCTGACCACACTTTCTGGCATTGAGGGCGTTCCTGGCTGTGTGTGTGGGAGGTGGAGCCGTTTCATGATTTTGTGCTCCGCACAAAGTTCTGTTTGTGGGCTGATCCACGTGGCTCTCACAACACGAATGGCTGCAAGAGTGTGGAGCGCACAGCCAGCGAGCTCTTTCCCATCCTCCCTTGCCGGTGGTGGGCTGGTCATGGTTGGAATAGAAAACTGAGCCAGAAGAGCATGGTCACAACTCCATGGCTGCTTGCTTATCTCCTTCGCAACACAAACGTGAAAGCCGGGGGGCGCACTGCCTCTGGACAAAGGGAGCGTGCTTTGCATCTATTGCAAACTTTTGTGAATTTTCCAGTGCCTCGTGTTGAGCAAAAAATTTGCTTCCAAGGTTCACAAGGAGTCATCTCACAGGGCTCAGTGCATTGGGACGGTGAGCCACCTCCTCTTGTCAGTGACACCTTTGTCGCTATATGGAAGGAGCAGGACTTAGCCACTTTAGTCGGGCCTCCTACTGTCAGCTTCGCTGCATTGCTTTGGTGCAGCAGCAGCAGCAGCTATGCTATGAAGCGAGCTAGGAATCTTCAGTCTGTGGAAATCGATGCGGCCAAGATGCTTGTGCAGGCCATAGGGATGCTTTTTTATATTAACGGAACAAAGTTTTGAGACCAGTAGCCGACTTTCTAGTTCGCAGTCGTGGGGTTTAATGAGCTGTTTCTGCAATTTTGCACGCAGGAGATGGCTGTGCATTTGTGTGGCCGTGTTGATGGGTGGGCCTTAGCCCAACCAGCTCCTTCCTTGTCCCTTTTGGTTGAGAAAGCTCCTCGTGGCCAAAAGCGGCGGAAGAGATTGAGTTTTTTTTGAAAGCACAAATAGGGAAGCAAAAGCGTCCCAGAATCTCTGACGAGCATGGAGGTGGAGCATCAGCCCATCAAAGCATGCTTGCAGAAGCTCGGCTGTACGCTCTTCAGTTGAAGAAAGCTTTCGCAGAGATTCACAACTTGGAGCTGGTTTTCGACAGCAGCAGGTTTGGAGGGGTGGATCTGGAATTGGTCGTTGCCTACTGCTCCGAGGCAGTAGGCAAGCAGCATCTGTTGGATGCTGGGCAGACTAGGCAAATGCACTCTTCCACCCAAAGACTCCAGTGGCCCTCTGCAGGCCCCACCAAAACAACGGATGTGGGATGGGTGGGAGACTGTCTGGAGGACTACTACTACTACCACTACCACTACCACTAC